AAACTGCAATTTTTCCTAAACCAATTGAAAGACAAAATGTATCAACTTGTTTAAGAGTATTTTGTGATGAGACTGTAGCTGCTTTAAAAACTCATCCACTCATAAAAAATGTCAAAGACACCATGGTGTTTTTATTTATTTTTATTAAATTTTTTAAAATTGTTAATTTTAAGGACTTTATGAAGATATTTGTAGTAGAGAAAAATATATATAAAAAGCCTTGGCCAGGAAGGCGTGTGATTTAAGAACTGTTTTTTCATCAAGCAACGGTGAACTATTGAACTTTCTTATAATTTGACTAATATGGTCAATTGGCTCCTAAAAAACAGCATTTCACCAGTGACACTATTGAGAAAGCATTTGGAAAACTTTGGCAAGGATCAGGTGGTGCCTATTTTATAAATATTAAGCAAATATTAAAAAAAATGACATTAAAAAAAAACATTATCTAAATATTAGTATCAATGATTAAGAAGTACCACCAAACCATTTGTGTGACAAATGTAATTATGTATTGAAAGCTAACATTTTCTTCAATGTGTTTCATAATCTTCCCATTAATGAAAGCAATTGTATGAAAATGTATGAAAAAATTGAAATGTCTTTGGGTTACATTGCTGGCTAAGTTAACAGAGAAGATGCATCATTTTTTGACCAGTTTGGAAATTATGTTACAGAGATAAATCGTGGAGGTTTAAGTTTGTTTGGAAATTATGTTACAGAGATAAATCGTGGAGGTTTAAGTTTGTTTGGAAATTATGTTACAGAGATAAATCGTGGAGGTTTAAGTTTGTTTGGAAATTATGTTACAGAGATAAATCGTGGAGGTTTAAGTTTGTTTGGAAATTATGTTACAGAGATAAATCGTGGAGGTTTAAGTTTGTTTGGAAATTATGTTACAGAGATAAATCGTGGAGGTTTAAGTTTGTTTGGAAATTATGTTACAGAGATAAATCGTGGAGGTTTAAGTTTGTTTGGAAATTATGTTACAGAGATAAATCGTGGAGGTTTAAGTTTGTTTGGAAATTATGTTACAGAGATAAATCGTGGAGGTTTAAGTTTGTTTGGAAATTATGTTACAGAGATAAATCGTGGAGGTTTAAGTTTGTTTGGAAATTATGTTACAGAGATAAATCGTGGAGGTTTAAGTTTGTTTGGAAATTATGTTACAGAGATAAATCGTGGAGGTTTAAGTGTGTTTGGAAATTATGTTACAGAGATAAATCGTGGAGGTTTAAGTTTGTTTGGAAATTATGTTACAGAGATAAATCGTGGAGGTTTAAGTTTGTTTGGAAATTATGTTACAGAGATAAATCGTGGAGGTTTAAGTTTGTTTGGAAATTATGTTACAGAGATAAATCGTGGAGGTTTAAGTTTGTTTAGAGATTTTTGCTATTCGATATTTTATTCATACATTTTATTTCATCATCTGTATTTTTGCCGTGTTGTTTAAGTAAAGTAGGTATCTGACATGGAATGTTTAAAAAAACATTGTAAAATCCTTGCCAACATATTTTTTAACAACTATTGCCATCTTTATACCCCGCGATCTTCAAAGGAAACCACAGTCCGTACTAAAGTAATAATATTTTTTAGTTGCGGATTGAAAGTAAAGTATTATCGTTTTCCTTCAGATAATACTTCTTTACAATACTTTCCAGCTTGTAAAAGCAATCGTCTGCCTACACAGCCATCAGAAATGATGTAACTTATTTGTTCTATGTTGTTTGTTTTATCATTATTAATATTAGAAGACGATTTTTATAGTAAATTGCTCTATTTACGATTAACTTCATTACAGAGATTAACTGCTAATAAACACGGTACTCTTGTGTTCTAAATAAAGCTAATGATGCAACTTGATATAAACAGTTACCATCTGCAACCAATGCTCGAGGAAACATACTGTTAAACATAACGGCTTGAAATCGCCTAAAAATATTTACTGATGCAGCATCTTCAGTACCCAGCATAAATTTTTCTTCAGTATCCAGAATAAATTTTTCTTCAGTACCCAGCATAAATTTTTCTTCAGTACCCAGCATAAATTTTGATCCGTAGCAAACCACAAATCTGCAATCAAAAGCTGGAGATTCTTGAAGTCTTTAAATTAATTCATGTAACTTATATTTATCTAACAAAAAAAAAAAAAGATTCAGAGGGCCACAAATTTGATTTTAAAATTGAATAACTTACTTTTACTCTCTCTTAAACAATTAGAATAATTAGAATAATTAGAATAATTTGCTTATTGAACATAATTATTTAATAACTGAACATTTAACGCGGCGTGTTTTGGTGTTTACTGACCACAACCCTCTTCTATGTTGTGAATAGCAATGTTAATTAACTTAAATTCTTAAATTTACCTAAACGCTTAAAGTTACATTCACGTTCAAAATTTCTATACTTCGTATTAGAAGATCTTAAGAAATTTTAAAACCCAGGGTTGTTGTGCATATGTACCAAAATATAACTATACTTATTTAAACACTTTGGACAAACAAAAGTAGGAAACTACTTTTAGGAAAGTAGGAAAACTACTTTTAATAACTTTTCTAAAGTCAACATCTGAAATTAGGACACATTTTTGATCAATCTATAAACCTCATCCTTTCTAACACTGAATGGCAGGTTTTCACAAACAGCACACGGAAATTTAATGCATTTTGGTAGCATTTGAAATGTTGAATAAAATAGTATAAAAAATACAAGTTTATAAAAAACTAACTTATATTAATCATCTAAAATAAAAAAAATTCAAAAGTCTTGATTCAAGTTTGGTTTAATTGCGCACTACATTGTGCTCTCGAGCAGTAAAAGTTAAAAAGTTGTTTTGCCAAAAGGTCAAGACTTGATTAAGTTGTACCATGATAAACTAAAAAATTTAAAAATCTAAAATTTTTAATTTTACAGTCTTGATGAGTGATGTGCCGGGTACCCGGTTCGGACCCGGGGACCCGGCAATTCGGCTGTTTTACCGGGGACCCGGTATCGGCCATTTTGTTGCAGTACCCGGCACCGGGTATCTTCAAATTGATTTTTCCTTTAGTTTAAACTTTAACCATTAAACTTCTTGATATAAGTCTAAGAGTGTTATGTAGTCGATAACCATAAAGTTCTATTAACTTAAAATAATCTCACTTAAAATATTTTTTAATACATTTCTGCAAAAATATTTATACGGATACAAAAACTGTAACGCTAAATGAAATAATTCGAGAATACGAATAAAAAGAATGGAAAAAAAAGATTTAAAATAGCTTCTTTTTATTCTGTTAGAACACAAGATAATTTTGCCAAGTTTTTATTCCAACTTTTAAAAAATGGACTCGGTGCCGAGTACCCGGACTCGGACCCGGTTTTTTCAGCCGGGTACCCGGAATCGGAGACTCGGCATAAACTGGTTCCGGCACATCTCTAGTCTTGATATATCGTTGATACTTTTTTTTGAATAAAACCAATAATGCCAATACTCTCGTATTTTAAATAAAGTTTGAAAAACTGTGCTTAAAATGTCATTATAATAAATAATATTTGACAAATAAATAATATTTGATTTGTAAGTACACATACGCAACTTTAACATAAGTTCAACTTGTTTATTTTAAGTTTTCAAAAGCGACTTATTAGTTGTTGTAATCTGTGTGTGTCCGCGCCATTTGTCTGTCAAAACTTGTGTGACGTAGATTGTCACGCTATAACGTGTCTGTCTAAGCTTAACGCTAAACTATATATATACTTAGCTTAGACAAACACAATGTGTTTGTCTAAGCTTAATGCCAAACTATTAACACAATCGGCACAAAGTGATAAAATCCACGTTGTTAAAAACGTTAGTAAGTAACTTCTGAATATGATGCCTTGCCCTTGTAACTCCGGGATATTTCAATAGAAAAAAACAAGTTTGAATACGTCAGAACCAATTAGAACTAGGATCTATAGTGAGTTAACGCTCTTTTTCAAAAGATTTTAACTAAGTCCATGTTAACGCTGATGAGCGAAATTAATCTAAAAACTACAAAGAGGTGTTCTTTAGACTCTTTATTAGGATTAGTAAAAAGGTTTTGAAAATTGTATAAAGAAAAAGAAAAGTTTATTTAAATATTAAAAAACCTGAAGTAAAAGAAAGTATAACATCTAAAGCTCTTGTTTGGACATAAGACGCTAATAAATCATGCTAATTCCAAATAAAAGGATTCTACTAATTTGAATATTGCCTTAAATACACCAAGCAGTGGAAAAAAATTTTATGAGGAGAAGCACACCAAAAAACTTTCCCTAGACCTTCCAATTTAGCTCAATTCTTCATGACTAGCAAATTTCGCGCGTCGCGTCTCACATATTGGCGTTACGTGCTTTGAACAATGCACTTCGCCGCATCAAAATATGTTTAACCCAAAATTGGAGGGAAGGGGAGGCGTTGCTTTATGAGGCATGGGGAGGGGGATAGACGCCCAGTTAACATTTTGAATATTCCCTATGAAGAGTTAAAGCAAATTAAAAAAAATAACATTTAATTGATCAATTTTTTCTTCAATTAAAATTAACTTTAAACTGATTTAAACTGAGTAGTCTTAAGTATTGTTAACAAAGGGTTTTTATGAGACTTCACTTACTTGGGACCGAGAGAGAAGAGTATGCTTCAAGATAATTTTTTTTACATTTATTTATTTTTAAAAATTAGAATAATAAAAATGATTGAAAATTGTATAATTAATAACAAACTTTACAAAATTTAAGTTTTGTTTTTAAAGTATTGATTCTTATTGATAATATTAGGTTTATTAAAGTTTCAGTACGTACTGAAAACTAAAGGTTAAGTGTCATTACAGCAACAATTTAAAAGAGTGATAGTCCCTTCTAATTTATAGAATTGAGATTACTAATTTCTATAAATTAGAATTAATTAACTGTTTCATTGAATTTATATATATTTTAAATAGAATAATACTTTAATATTATTTTTCAACACATTTTTAAAAAATTAAAAAAAAATATATTTTTATAAAAATATTTAAATAATTTTTAATATACATACAAGTTTAAAATATCTACCAAAAAGTTTGTTTATTCAAAGAAATACAATTGTCTCAGAGGTTTCTCTCCGTGTAGTCTCCATATCTATCCTCACTAAATTATCAACTTGTTTCCGTCTCAATTTAAGCATTTCTTTACATTGATATTTGTGCCTTTTTTGAGTTATAAACTTTTTAATTTTTTTTGTGTAAATAAATATAACAGCATCATTCCAATAAGATAACGAAGAAAAAATATCCAAAACTAGTTCAAGATTTTTATTTATAGTTTTGTCTAAAATATAATAAGGCGCATATATAAAATGAGGTATCGCAGTAAAAAGTATGTAGGTTGTAATATACAAAGCAGGCAACACTAATGTCTTCAATAGCGATTTTCGTTCTTGTAAAAGTGATTTTTTTTTTGACATTTTATGCGATAAGTTTATCGCATAGGCGTAAACAAATATATATAATGCTGATACACCCACATCCAGTGAAAGATGAATATATGCTACGTTTCTGCTCGGTTTTGAAGTAAAATAAGCAAACGTTAAACTGCATATCCAAGAAAAAAGTAAACAAAATCCTGCTTTTTTTTTTGTAATCACTGATTCGTACTTAACATTCAAATAAAGTATAATAAATCGGTTTAATGTCAATAAGAAAACTGTGATATAATAAGCAAATATAAAGAATTTTATTAATACTCGTATCCATATTTCTATTTTTTTTTCAGCAAAGTTCAATATTGCAAATAAAAGGAAAACATTACTTAAAAATATTTCAGCAACAGATAAATTTATTATAATAATACGATCGATTTTATGCATACCAAAAATTTTGTTCTTAGTTATCAAGTAAAGTCCAACAATATGTAAAAGTATACTAGCAGGACAACTGACGACTAAAATATAAGATAAGTGAGTTACTGAAGTTATATTGTTAAATGACGATATATTTATCAACATAATGTTAGAAGTGTTCAGCATTTTGGTTTTTGCTATAATACGACAGCAGAAAAATAAAGTATAATAAAATCAAAACAATAACTGCAGTACTGTTGACGGCTGTTGTATTTTTGACAAAAACTTAAAACTCAATGATGCTAATTATGTAGAATACAGCGGCAGTTCAGTAAAGTAAACAAAACGAGACGTTAAAAATGACTTCAAAAAAACATTGATCTTTTTATATTTAGATAAATAATTTCTTGCATTACTATTAATAACCTAAACAAAGTTAAACATTATGAGAAATTATATATTACATATATATATATATATATATATATATATATATATATATATATATATATATATATATATATATATATATATATATATATATATATATATATATATATATATATATATATATGTATATATATATATATATATATATATATTTATATATATATATATATATATATATATATATAATATATATATATATATATATCACATGTCAGCATTTATTTACTCTCAGTTATAACAGCTATTTAAATAAAAAATAAAATTGCAGCGAATTAAACGCATTTAGCTATGCGTTTAATTTAAAATGCTCTAAATAATAAAAATCTTAAAAAAAAAAAAAAGAACGTCTTTAGATAAACGATTTTGGATAAATTAAATATTGTATTTATGCATATAACTTTCAATAAAAAAAGTAAGCATAAAATAGTAATTAAAATGAAAATTACTGATAGAAGTTCAAAGCCAGCACTGTTTTTCATAACAAAAATAATGTGAAGATAAAAGTACACTTGAAAAGATTGGTAGATCGGAGCAAATCTTATATAAGCAAGATTACGTTTAGATGATCAAGATGAAATATGTCTGTCCACTAGTCTTGCGTTATTTTAAGTTATTTAATGATGGGTTAGTGCACTTTAATGATTAGAAATCTCCTATCCAGTAATTTTCTGATTAAAAATCTTCTACCCAGTAATTTAGTGATTAGAAATCTGCTACCCAGGCACGTGTCGTCTGGGGGACGTCCGTTGGATGTTTCACGAACGTTTCCCGGACGACGCATGCTCACTGGGTAATGTAATTCCACAATACAAAAGTAAATCAAAAAGTTTGATTTGAATCAAGAAATAGTAGACTAGCAGCACAGATTCAGAACATTAATTAACACGGGTTAGTAGTTTTTCTGATAACACATTTGTCGTTTTATGTACTGGTGCATGGATATTTTAATTTAATCTGAAAAATTACCAACTCAAGAAGAATTTTTAAACAAATAAAAAAAAGCTTCAAAATTATTTTTAAATTTATTTTATTCTTTCTCTTCGATTATAAAGACAAGCTTCTTTTATCTTTTTAAATGTTACACAAGATTAAATAAAAAAATATAAACTGATGTTACAAATATTTTTTTAATTTTTTTTTTTTAATTTGTTTTTGGTGTCACAAGAAGTTCTTATGGTCTTATCACAGAGCGGATGAGCATTTAATAGGAAGTTATAGCCTTTTTC